GTATTTTTGATACTTCCATCTCTGTTATGAACTCACGTTAAAATTTGATTCGATCTGGCAACCTCTTAATATATAGAAACAGTTGTTCAAAAAAGACGCATCCTCAATTTTTTTCAATGGAACATGGCACAATAAATAGGTAGTCCATTTAGCGCAGCTGATGTTTCGATTAACTGTCAAAGTGGATAATTTCTACTTGTATTCGATGTGCAATGTTACCAACCATGTTAAATATTATATGGAACAATTTGACAGATAATCGAGACAAAAACAAATGTTTTTGTTTTGATACATCACCTTATTATTGCATCATGCAATGGAAAAATTAGAAATGCGTGCTTTCATTGTAAAAAATGAGAATGCGTCGTTGCCAGATCGAAACAAAATTTAACATGTCTTCATAACAGAGATGGAAGTTTCCAAAAAAACTTAACTTTTTTCTGTTTATACCACCCTTTTTGTGCTAGGCTAAGAACTTTCCGAACTGCCATCGTAATAAACTGCGAATTAATTTAATTTAATCGCAGATTTCTTCCCATTATTCGTTGTGTCTTTGACATCGTTCAATGTGATTTTTGCCATTATAAAAAATCTGATTTTATTTGTAATATGTTGTAGTTGCTGCGCCAAATTGCATCAAAACAATAGACAACGGTCTCACATACCGTTGTATGTTGCCATATTTTCAAACTTTAATTTATTTTCTTTTAATTACAAAGCCGTTTTACAGCGGATTTTTGATATTTCATATTTATATTGTTATAACAATAAAAAGTAATACATTTTTTAAATCAATAAATAATTAAATTACAATAGGGCAACACACTTTACAACTTACATTACAATATGGCAACACGAATCTTTTTCAACAACAATTTTCAAAAATTCTCAATTCGCATTTTTGCTTTATTTCCTTCTCCCGTTTCATTCAGAATAAATCGAGCATGTGAAAGCGATTTTAACAAGCAAGATCTCTACCTAACGAATGCCCAACATAAGCCTGTATATTTTTCTGAGACATAAGCGGGGATTTTTTTAAGAATGTATAGCTTCAACTATCTCATCTATTGTTATTGATTTTAAAGAATATTTTCTTTCAATTATCTGGCCATTTTTTACAAAGATAACTTTCGGCTGATGTTTGTAAAACTATTATCCTCAACTATTCGAATTTTTAAGAATACATATGTAGATTTTTAAACAATATTTTCCTTCATCTGATCTGGGTGGAGGAAAATGTCAGACCCATAGTTGGAATTTTACAAACAATACTTTCTTCTACTGTCTGACCTATTTCTTTCTTAAGCAACATTTATCTCTATATTTGTGGTCTATATGAGTGGATTTTTTTAAAAATAATGTTTATATTTCCCCCTAAATATCTGATCTATAGGCCAGACTTTTTTAGGGAATATATCTCTATGACCTACATAAGTAAATTATAACGATTTTTTCTCCTATTCCAGAGTCACTGACGTGGATTTTTAAAATAAATATTTTCCTTCAATTATCTGGCCCAAATGTGCCTTATCGAAATATCAGTTTTAGACATAACGTTTCTTTGGACAAAATCTGATTTAGAAACGTTCAATCGTCTCTCGAAGCGAGTAACCGCTTTCATTGAAAACTTTGAACATCGTAATATTTTTTCCAAATTTAAATCATGTTAATAGATTAGAAATAAGGGAATACTTTTCAAGGATTATACTAGACGTGAAATTTCTAAAGAATATTTCTTTTTAAGAATCTTTTTGAACTATTTTTACCATGTCTAGCTGAAGTCTGAAAATGGCACCCTTAATATTTGTACTAAACTTAGATTTAATACAACTCTCATCTATACAGGGCAGGCATCTCTGGTAACGCCTCCACAAACTGTCAATTTAAATTAAAAATAATAGACAACGATTCCATATACCTCCGCAAACCAAAATAGTAAACAATAGTCAACATAAATGTATACTACATATCGTTCATTTGCTAAAAGACCTACACAATAAAAAAATCGATTTTCCAAAAAAAAAAAAAAAAAAAAAAAAATTTTTTTTGTTTTCAATTTACTCAAATCTTACAAGGAACAGAGAAACTTCTACAGCTTCTCAATCAGAGTACGATAGAGATGATATTAACCAGATTTTTTACACCACATGAAGTCTGATAAAACAAAACAATGAAAATTTTTTGTTGTAAACCGTAATGTATACCAAATACAAATTTCAACAACCTACTGATGGTTCAATATGAAAATGTTGGCATCACAATACATTCCTTCACGCTAAATATTAAAAATACCGAAAATGGGTAGGTATCACAATATGGGGAATTGGCCTAACTGCGGCCTAAATTTTATATTTCATTCTCGAACCTGGTCGTTCTAGTTTTTTACTTCGATACCCCCGAAGGTATAATGATTAAAACATATAGCAAAATCGTCTTAGAATCGCCTTATACGGGGGCTATACAAAAAAATTGGCATATATCATAATTTTTTGTTGAGAGTTTTGGTACCTATTAAGAACTCAAAATACTAAATTACAGCCAAGTCGGTAGAAAAATATGATAAAAACCTTCAAAATATTGAAAATTAGGGGTACCGTAATATGGGGGCTACCAGAAAAAAGTTGACCATATTTATAATTTTTTGTTGAGAAATTTGGTACCCAATACGAACCCAATGTATCAAATTTCAGCGAATTCGGTTAAAAAACGTACTCAAGAACCCCAAAATGAAACCTATCTCAATTCCTTCAGAATATGGCGAGGGACATGGCTAGATCGTATTTGAATTTCGCCCTGACATGGTAGGAAATTAATATTTCGATGAGTTACAAACGGAATGACAAAATTAATATACCCTCCATAAAAATCATGATTTATGCCTGTCTTGCAGTCAATAGGCGATATGCCATAGACTGAAGGTATTAGGGGTTTAAATAGTATTTTCCTTCAATTATGCGTTGATTTTTCAAGAAATATTTTCTTCCAATTATCTGAAATTAGTGGATTTTTAAGGAATATTTCCTCCAATTACGAGGACTAAAAAAATATTTTTCTCCAACTATTCGACCTATGTGGCGTTGATTTTTTACAGTTTTTTTTTCTATTTGACCTCAATGCCAAATTCGAATTTAAAATGTATTTAATAATTATTTACGTTTTATTTGAAATAACAATTATGATACATTTAACTTACATGTAATGATACAACCTTTTTTGATGTCTCAATGAAGATATTACTTAGAGAAAATTGGCAAGGAGAGAAAGGAGAGCGCTTAATAAATTATAACTTGTTTATCTAATTCGTATACACTTCCATAGGTTTTTAATATACAATTTTATAAATTGACATATTATTAACAAATCACAAACATTTAATTTATTAAAAAAATATCACACATGATCCTCACTTCGTATTTCTTTCACACGCTGTTCGCTTTTGTTTACATTTCTGCCTCTTGCAATAGTAGTGTTGCCAACTTTGAAATAAATTATTTGAGATAGGTGGCCGGTTGGCCTAGCAAATTAAGTGGGGGGAATGCAACGTAGTGGTCAGTGAAAAATATTTCGTGATGTACGAAATACTTTGAAATAATTTCTTTGACATAGGTGGCCGGTTGGCCCAGCAAATTAAGTGGCGGAATGCAACGTAGAGGTCAGTGAAAAATATTTCGTGATGTACGAAATACGTACGTAAATGTACTTGCAATGAAGATTCCAACCAACTTGTACTATACTGCAGCAAATAATTTTAAATGGTGATATATTTGACTTCAAAGATGGCGTCTATAGGGCAACTTTATTTTAAAACGTATGTGTAGAAATTTTCCAATATCTAAAAGGTTAATCGATCTATAAAGGAAATTATTATTGATTATATCTCCCATGAATATTTCAATTTGTAACAAATGGAATAATGAATTTAATTTAACCTGCACCTTTTGTTGAAGGATATATAAAAATATAAAAAAAATACAAATACTAAATTTGTGTTACTTAATCATGGCGAAACGCCTTATCATCGTTGGTTTATTGAACTTTAACCCTATCCGAAAATAAAACACACATTCTAATTATATTTTAAAATATTTTTTTGTTTCATTTTATTATCATTGTAAAAAAGTCAGAAATTACAAATCTTAGAAATTGGAAAATTTAAAAAAAATATATAAATTTAAAATTTTTTTAGAAAAAAAAAATTGTTATTAAAATATTAAAAAAAAGATTTTTAAGACTGGAATGTGGTCACAACATTGTTTGGAAAACACAATTTTCATATTAATTAATATCAATTAGAAGAGAGAGAGAAAGGGACAGAGGGGCGAGATAGATGCTACTTAGCTTATAAACAAATAAAAAAATACAAAATAAAAAATATATATAATCAATTGCAACAACTCCAGTCTAGAACTGAGGGAACAAGGCTAGGGGAGGGATTCAATTAAAAACTAAAAAAGGGGATCTACTAAAATTAAAATTATAAAAATAGTATAAAACAACAATAAATGTGGTTGGTCGTGGTGGTGGTAGGGGTGTGGATGTTCATTGGTTCTACATAGATATAAAAATTAAAACACATAAGTTTGTTTTTTGTTGGCAAATATGTAAATACGTGTTTTTGTTAACGGATATTTTCTTGAATTCTTTCGTTTTGTTGTTTTTAATAGAAAACATATAAAGACTAATCAGTCTATTTTGTTTGTCGATTGGTATACAAAAATAGAAGAATAAAACAAACTAAAAAACAGAATGATATGAACGTTATGGACTCTTTTGTATTCTTTCTTTCTGTTGAGCAATATTTTGTTTCTTTTTTTATATTAAAAACGAAGACATCATTTATGAGAGAGAGAAAAAATCTAATGGAAAACAATCATCTTATAAAACAATATTTGTTATACATTAACGTTAGCCAATTGTTTTGTTTACGTTTTAATCATTAATATAACATATTGTTATTAAGTTTCTTCTCTTTTTTAGCAACATTTATTATTATTTTATAGTAGTCCTAATAGAATTTTTTAGCTTGGGCTTCACTTCTACTCCTGTAATATAAAAGAGAAAATAATTTTGAAATAAGTTTAAATGTTCTTGAAAATTATGATTTGTGTTTACTTACTTGAAAATAGTATAAAGGAAGACTAAAAGTAGCTGTACAGCCGTAACACCAAGGAACAATGTAACACCTACACAGTTGCCTGTTGGACAGGCTGTTTGAGCCTGAGGTGAGGCACCCAATCTGCAATTAAAAAGGAGGGAAATTCATGTTGTTGGTAAATAGTAAGCATGGATCAAAACAAGTGAAAACACAATCGTTTAAATTTATTATTTATGGCACAATGAATAGGTAGTCCATTTAGAGCATCTGATGTTTTGATTAACTGTCAAAGTGCGTAATTTCTATACCATGTGAAATATTATAAGGAAACATTTGACCGAATGAGAAACCCAATATATACATAAACATGGACTGATATATTCCATTTTCAATATTAAAAATCCTTATCTTAAATATTGTTATTTCTTGATTTGGACCGACCTGGCTTAATCGACATTTGAATAACCCCTTCTCATTCAAACATAGATCATTGTACTTAAATTGTTGTTCCTCTATTGTTTCTAATTTCTATTTTTGTATGATAGTGTGTTTCTTATCTTCGTTTGGCTTTCTTTACTCAAACACACGCAAAAACGCGACGAGAATATTCATGAAATTCCACTTGAGAAATGATGAATTATCACTAAAAATATCTTTCAAATTTCCAAACGAAATTTTCAAACTTTAAGAAATGAAAATCAGTTTCTTTACGCAAACTTCTGGACGATTTGTTAATGGAAAAATATGAATCGATATTTTACGAAAAATATCAAATAATCATTAAAATGGAAAATCGTATCATTAAATGCATAACATAAATAAATATGTAATGTACTTACTTTTGTCCCACATGTGTTATACCCTGCTTAACTTGATTCATGCCATCGCGCATTTCATTGATAATTGCCTGAACATCATAACCGGCCGATTGAACTTGTCCACTGGGAGCACGTTGTTGCTGTTGCAGAATTGAATCGGTTCTGGCGTGAATATCACCAATTAGAGAACGTAATTCACGAGCGGTGGCCAAGAGGTTATTTTGATTGGCCACCAATAGATCGACTTCAGCCCGAGAAATGCTACCACCAACATTAACAACAGGTGGTTGTTGTGCCGTACCACCGACAGCTGGTTGTTGTACAGCAGCCGCTCCAGCGGCAGCACCCAAACCCCGTGATACCAAGGATAATGTATTCTCTTGCCTGCCAATAACTTCATCCATTTTACGTGATAATTCACGTATGTGTTCGAAAATTTGACTTTGTCCTTGCCAAATTTGTCGTAATTCACGTTGATTTTCCGATTCATAGAATTCATCCCATTCTTCTTCTTCTTTCTGGAAAATAAATTGGGAACAAAGAAAGTGTGAATATAAAATAAATTAAAAGATTAATTGGATACAAATGAAACAAAAATTTTTATTAAATTTTTAAAAATAAAAAATGAAAAAATGCTGTTATTTTTAGCCTCTGAAGGTTTAGTTTAGAAGATAAAACTGCATACCCTTAACCACCAAAGGACTGTGATTTAAAAAAAAAAAACTCTTGACTGTTACATGGCAATTTTAAAATTAGCCAACTTTAGCCCCTCTTGACAATATTATTATGTATTTTTCAAGAAATGAATACTAGATCGACACACCCTTGGTCAGTCAAGCACTGTGGGCGAAAAACGAAAGTCAATTTTTTTACCATTATATCCAAATTTAAATCATTTTGAATATTGAAATATTTGTTCAAGATGCTTATTAAATGTATACAAGATCCACGCAGTCTTAACCAAGGCAGATAATTTTGTGGGCCAAAATAAAATTCAATATTTTGGACAGTGCATGGCCATAATTAAAACCGAAAATTTTTCGGCTGTTTGCTATATGCATCATGAATATACCAAAAATAGTCCTTACCTCATCGGGATGTTCCTTTTTGTATTCCTGTTTTTGTTTCTCCAATTTCTCTTGATATTCCTTATATTCCTGCGATAACTTCTCATTATCTTGTGGTACTTTATTCTCAACAATTTGACCGGCTGGATGCAGCGATGTTGTCAAAAAATGGTAGACATCATGATCATCCGCCAAACCACCAGTTGCCGCCGACAAACCAAAGTAACCATTCTTTGGCAATTGAACACCATCGGCACGCAAACACATTTCATAATCATCATTATTATTGGTCATGCCATTGTGGAAGAGTACAGTCAAGACATTATTGTAGTACTCGATGCGGGCACGTGTCGGGAATGGTTTGTTACGGAAATCACGTAAACAGCCGGACAACAGTTGGGTGGTACCATCGTTGGCATGATCAAATTGTTTAGTACCATCGTTTAGTACGGCCATAATATAGGGATTATTGTGTTTATTGTCATTGTCGAAGGAATCGAAGAAGATACCCAGACCATTCCAACGATCTGAGGAACCAAATACAGGACCTATAACATCACAAAAACAATAATATCATCAATCAAACAGATGTAATTTACATTCCCACACTACTTACCATTGTAGTCGCCTTTTTGTGTGGTATACCAAAAGGCCAAACCATCAGCTCCAATACGGCCACGTCCATTTACACGGAAAACAATTTCAACTTCCCACCAATCGAAATTGAGTTGGTTTTTGGTCCAGATGGCACCCTTCTGTGAGCGCAAAGATGGGGCCACACGGACCATCTCCGAACTGGCAATGGCATCTTAGAAGAAAAGCAAATAAAAAATAAATAAAATTTCCACATTTTTTCCATTCATTCATTCATTTGTGGTAACAGCAGCCAAACAACAATGGTCAACAGAGGAAGCATTTGTTTGCGTGGCCATCTAGATGGGTTACCGGATAACTGGCTGTGCTCACTTTTGCCACTCTGTCAACATTTCGTCTAGAAGTTGTCTTCCATCTCTTTCCCACACATCGCAGCCATATGCAACCATTGATGTGAGACGGCACTTGTTTTTCTTTTTTTCACTGACGTGTCTGCGTATGTCAAATGCTAACTCTTTGCCTGTGCTTGGCTACTCACTGCCACTGTATACGACGACGTTGTCGTCGTTGTCGTTGCTGTAGTACTACTTACTTCCACCATATTCCCAGAATGGTACTGTTCCATCTTTTTGTGCCAAATATGGAGGTTTAAAGGAATACTTATATTCAAACCTCCGATGAACACCAACCTGTCCAGGATTCACTTGTGGATTTGCCTGACCATTGGCATTTATTACCAATAATGGTAAAATTAAGAGAAAAGACCGGAGAAACAACATCATTCTTCTTGACAACAGATCCATTTTTCTGTTTGACAACTAGTGATGGTCGTCCACAAAGTGGTTGTAAATCGATTGAGAATTTGATTGCGCCGGAGAGAGAGCGATAAGTGAGTTATCGATTAGTGTGTTAATCGTTGTGTGGTATATGTCAATGATGACTTTTAACGCGCGTTACAGACAAAAGCGATGCATTTCATTTTATAACCTCGTTTAGAAACGTCCATCAAAATCAATTTTATTTATGTTTAGCCATCTTCCTAAACAACAGGATATTTAAATGAGATCTATGTAATTTTCTGCAAAGATACTTTTCGCCCTTCAAGAACACAGAATGCCGAATTACAGCCATATTCGGTTGGAAAACGCGGAGAAAAAATGGTCTGTTCCGTACTACAAGAATCTACTATTTTTTACAAGGCATATAAATAAGTTCGTCCGTTTATGTTTAGTCTCTTCCTAAACAACAGGATATTTAAATGAGATCTATGTATTTTCTATTCAAGAACACAGAATATTTTTTACAATTGTTATCAAGGCATATAAATAAGTTGGTCCAGGGAGACAAGCTTGATATCAGCTGCCTCTCAAGTTTGCTATCAAGATCCATTATTGTGAATTGACTTTCATTATGAAAACGTAATCAAAGAAAAAAATATAATAGTGGTCCTGTATTAAAAATTGTCTGCGAAGAAATGGCAAATAACCTTAAAAAGCCTAAAATTGTACAGTAGCTTAATATGGGACAATACCAAAATGTGGACCGACATCATTTATTTTCAATATCATACTTCTTAATTGTGATCTCTATCGTGATTTCAACAGACAGACGGATATGTATATTAATTTTGGGGTATCTGATAATTGTTTCCAGTAGTAGAATTTTGGAACTATTTTTTCTGTTACCGACAATTTTAGGTAGGGCTTAACGATTAAGCGAATGCAAATTTGTAGTTATAGGCAATCACGTTTAATTCTGTCGCTGTGCAGTTACAAAATCGTACTACAGGTATTATGGTGAATACAATATAATACTGTCATAACCCTCAAGGCCATACTTTATATCTTTTTGGTTCTCCTTTTCGTTCCATGATTCCAGGACGAACACAATTGGCCTTATTCTGGACATCAATTCACAGTGAATTTTTTCGCATTTCCCTTTAAAGTCATTCTGTACTAAAACTCGCAGCGAATTTTTTCCCATTTTCACTTTCCCCTTATTTTGAAGTTCGAAAGCGAAAAAATCCGCTTTGGGGGAAAAATTTGTTATTCCGAAGTGCGAAAGTTTCCGCTAATCAATTTAAAGGGTAATCAGCCCAAAAATATATAAGTATTAAATATTTGTATGAAAAATATCTCCACAATAGTTATTCCATCACTATTTTGATTATTATAAATGGTTGTATGCATATTTTTAACTCAAAAACAAATGCCATTTAAAATCCCATTGATAACTTGCATGCTCAACGAAATATTGCCACGGAATGTATAAAGGCAATAAGGAATATTTAAGCAGAGTTCGATGCAATTTGGAGGTTGAATGAAGACATGTTGGGGGAGGATCAGTCCCTTGCGGTTTTTTCCATTAAAAAATGTTCTTTTTTTGTAATCTGTTTTAGTTGTTGCACCATATTGCATCAAACAATTTACAGCTGTTTCACATGGCGTTGTATGTTGCCATATTTTCAAGCATGAATTTATTTTCTTCTAATTACAAAGCTGTTTTACAGCCGATGCTTGATATTTCACATTTATATTGATATAAAATTTAAATAACAATAAAAAGTAACAATTGAAAACAAAACAATAAAAAATATTATATTTCTAAATAAAATTAAAATGGGGCAACACACATTACAACTTAAATGACAATATGGCAACACGAATCTTTTTTCAGCCACCATTTTCGAAAACTCGAATATTCGCATCTCTAATTTTTTAGCTTCTCCCTATTCATAATAAGAATAAGGCGAGAATGTGAAAGGGGAAATTTTTCACAAACGAAATCTCTCTCAAGCGAATATCCAGAATAAGACTGAATGAAGCAAAAGTCTACGAGTGAAGAGGCTGCTAAATTTATTTCAACAGAATCAAAATCCAAAAACAAAAAACACCTTTTTCTTCAGTTTATTTATGGATATATTTTTTGTCATTAAAAAAAATACGCAAATCACTTAAAGTGTCGTTTATGTATGTAAATAAAAAAGAGAGAAAATTACGACAAAAGTTTATTATTTTTGTTTGTTCCTTCATTAATATATATTTTTTAAATTGTTATGCATTTTTTTCTTTAAATATTACTATTTATAATGCGTTTTGTTTATTTTGCATCTACTGTTGTTGTTGTTTAATGTGTTTTTAATAACTTAAGTATAGTTAACATAATAATCGACTTATTGCTAGCATTGTTTTTGTTGTTGTTGTTTAAGTAGAAAAAAAACGAATGTAAAAAATATTTTAGAGAAAAATTAAGATAAACAAAATAACAATTGTAATTAACTTAAATAATTATTATTATAATAATAAAAAACAAACTTTTTAGAGGAAGTGAAATTGTTGTTTGGTTCATACGTACGTATATCTATATATATTATTATATGTATATATGATTTTTTTATATAACATATTATATCATTCCAATTGCTGTAGTAATATCAAAATCTCCATATTTTTTTATTTTATTTATTTTCCACAATTTCATCAGTCCTTTTTTTGTTGTTTAAAAATACGTGTATAAGTAAGTATGTGTGTGTGTGTAAAGGAGGGATGGTGTGAGTGTGTGTGCATAAATGCCTTTATCTAGAAGTAAAGCAATGAATGTTTATGTCGCAAAAATAAATTTAAATTATAAATTAGAAAGATATTAGTGAAAAAAGGGTGTTGAAAGATAATTTGTGTGTGTGTGTTTTTTTTAATTACTTCTAATTTAGAAAAATTGCATTGCTTAAAGTTGTGAAAATAAAAAACGAGTGTGGTTGAGTAGTTTGATGAAAATACAAGTGTTTGTGTTACAGTTTTTTTATTTTACTTGCAGCATAGAGGAAGAAAAAAATATTGAATTAATTGGAAATTTGTGTCTCTAATACAAATTCATATGAGAAATAGATTCGGTTGCAAGTTGTTTACACATTCGTCCATTAACAAATAATTTAGAAAGATATACAGCCTTATTCTGAATATTCGCTAGGGAGAGATATCGCTTGTGAAAATTTGTTCGCATTCACATTCCCGCCTTATTCTGAATGAAGTCATCTCCCTTTAAATTTATTGGCGAAAAATTTCGCACAAAATGTCATTATATTCTCCCATTCCCTGTAAACCAGTATAATTAGTTATTCCCTAAAACGGATTTTTTCCCTTTCGAACTTTATTTAGAATAAGAGGAAAGTGAAAAAAGTGAATAAATTTAAAGGGAAAATCGAACATATTCACGGTGACTTGATGTTCAGAATAAGACCGATATTTTAAATTTAACCCAAGGCCTATAAATAAGGTCATCCAGGGAGACAAGCTGTCTCTTAAGTTTGCTGTCAAACTCCATTTTTGTGAATTAACTTCCATTATAAAAACATCAGACTTGAGAGAAAGCAGCTGACTTTTGCTAGCTGGGTGAGCTGACTAATAGATATTGTTTTAACCGTTCCTCTTGTTATCGCATAGACCATATCCACTCCAATAAGATGATCTAGATGTTAGACAACTTTTAGATGGCTTCACAGACAAAAAAAAATCATAAAGATGTTCTCTAAATTTAAACGATCTTCTAGGGATATAAAAACATTTAAGTGACATGTAAAGGACTTCTGAAGTTTTCAATAGACCGAAAACCTTTTGGAAAACTCAGAAGATGAATAACCTCCTAAATCGCATAAACTGGCAAAAGACCTTTATCAGCTGAACTCTTATCTATTTATAGAATACAGTCAACAGATAACCTAAAGTTCTCTATAAAGTCTCTCATCCTCTTTGATGATTGAACCAAAATTGCAGCCATTTAAAATTAGCAAACAACTTTTTTTATTTTTATTCCTCTATAGCAAAAAATGATATTCTTTGTTTTCCATTCAAAGTATGTACTGTTGTAACTGTGTACGAATGTGTATAATCTAGTTATATAATTATCAAAGGTAATTTTGGACAAAAGAAATAAAGGAAGGAAGGTAGGGAGAGAGTTTTGAATAGTGTATGAGTTAACATTTGAGCTTAATATATACTTGGTATAAATACACTTAATTGGTTGTGTTTGTGGTTTTTTGTTTTATCACTAAAAACGAAGGTTTGTTTTAAACAACGGGATTTCGGTTTTGTATAATTATTTTTTGTGAGATTTTCACTTTTGAAAATTAAACATAAAATGGCTGTGTTTTATTTCGTTTCTGTTCTCGTAATATTAATAGTAGCAATTAGAGATATAGGTAGGAGGCGCGTGTGTGTGTGTTGGTTGGGGGATTGGTATAGTTTCTTAATTCGATTTGTTGTTGTTTTTTTGTTATTGTAAGTTTTATTAGAATTCGACATTAGATTATATAAATAGTTTTAATTTTTTAAATAGGGTTTGTTTTGTTTATACTTAACTATTACAGTATTCATTATTTTTCAGTTTGCTTATTGTTTTAGGAATCCATATTAATGTACATGAAGTTGTTAGTGTTATTGTATAGGTTCTTCTGGTTGTTGTTTTGTGTTTGCCGTCATTTTTGACTATTTGCTATTTGTCGTTTGTCGGCTTAGCTGCCTGTTTAATTAGTTTGTTGAGAAAAGATTCATTAAGTCGCCCTCGTAAATGGCTATTAAAAGCATAAGTAATACGCCGCTTGACATGCCCAAGATTTGTAATGCAAATTGTTGCACTGATTTATGTGCAGCTGATATTTCAGGCATCTAGAAGATATGGATGGAGGAGAATAAAATAAATACAAATTAGATAAAACAATCTATCATTGACATTATAATAAATTATTTTGTTTTAATACATATATTATTTGTAAGCAAGTGAGAATTGAATTGAATATTATACATTTTTATTTTTTACAGAAAAATATAATTATATTAAATAAAACTGATTTCTTCTATTTTGCACATTTATAGTAATTAAAAATGAAATTATGTAAATCAGGACTAACATTTGCGATAAAAAATTAATTATTATTAAAATAACAAAAAATAAAAAACCAGTTTACTTACCATATCAACCATAGCTATATAAATAAATAGACCTGCAGCTGCCGCAAACATCCATTGGGCTGTTTCGTGTGACTGACCAAATATAATACCCACAATCATGCCAATAAAACTTAACACACCCGTAAGTAGATTATAGTATACGGCTGATTTCACCGACATGCCAGCCTTTATTAGAATTGCAAAATCTCCCAGTTCATGCGGCAATTCATGACAAAATACAGCCAATGCTGTAGAGAAGCCGCCAGCAAGATTTTCGGCAAATGCAGCGCCTGAAAAAAAGTAAATAAAAAATTTAAATTTTTAAATTATTATATGCAACAAGCTAGACGAACCCAACAGAAAAACTTTTCTAATTCTTCCACAGATAAAAATTCAGGCAATTCCCACAGACAGAGGTACAATAGTGCATCTATAAACACATCCAAAGACATAAGACTTTCTGCTGCATTGAATACTGTGAAAGGAAGTCATTCTAAGATCCTTTTTATAAATAGAATGGACTTCTGGAAATTTTATACAGTGATATGAACTCTAGAGCCCTACAGAGAGATATGCTCTTTACAGAGATATCTTCCTAATTCCTTCTATCGGTGGACAGGAAAGCTTTTAGCATATAATTATTAAAGGTAAATCTCGATGTTTGAGGCTTTCTGGAAATTTTCCATAGACGGAAGACCTTTATAATATGTCATTCTATAAGCAAAAGACTTCAATAGAAAATATAGAAATTGTACACAAGTTAGTACCATTTAGTACCCATAAGTATGAATTTTCATAAATACATCCTACACTCCAACAGTAACCTTATTTCCAAATTTCAGTGTTCTAGCTCTATCGATTCGCCCATGTACACATTTGGTACTATTTAGTACACATTTCCAAAAAATCATATATATCTCAATTTTTAACCTTAACAGAGACCCTAAATCCAAATTTCAGGATCTTAGAACTATCGGTTCACCCAGAATTCATATTATACAATTTAGTATCCATAAGTATGAATTTCCAAAACTACATCTATACACCAATCCTACACTCCAACATTAACCTCCATACACCAATCCTACACTCCAACAGCAACCTTATTACAAAATTTCAGTTTCGGTTCACCCAAATACACATTTGGTACTATTTAGTACACATTAGTATACATTTTCAAAACTTGCTAAATATCCTAGTCCTACATCTTATCAGTAACCCTAACTCCAAATTTCAGGATTCCAGCTCTATCGATTCAAATTGTATCAAATATAGCACCATTTAGTACCCATATGTATAAATTTCCAAAACTACATCCATACACCAATCGTACACACCAACATTAAATTCATTCCCAAATTTTAGTGTTCTAGCTCTATCGGTGCACCCAAATACATATTTGTACTATTTAGTGTACACATTAGTTCTAGCGCCACCGGTTCGCCATATACAAATGTTACCATATTTAGTACTTTTCGTGCCGTTCTAATTCGAATTTCCAAAAACCCATTATTTGGGCCAAGATGACTGTCACAAAAAATGTCAAGATTCTAGCTTCAGCCGTTCCGACTGGTCGTTGATGAATGGTTAATTCAGTCAATCACTTTACTCTTTGGTTATGTTCTTTCAAAGTACTCTTCAATAAGACCAAATAGACTTCGTCTTATAAAAGTCCTGGATGGACATTCCCCCAAATAACAGAATTTATTCTTCTCATAAAATACCAAAACAATTTATTTTCATAAAATATCTGATAGTCTCTTATAGCCTCATAGAAGACTATAAAGACTCCTTTTTGTACCTTTCAATTAGGATATGGCCTATTTTATTGCAGACCAAAAAACTTTCCGTTTGTGAGATTTTTATATGATATACTCCTCTTATAAAGTATCCTTCTTATAGAATATCATAAAAAAAACATATAAATATTGCTTTAAGGGAACCCCCCCTTCTCGATTTTAATTTTTCAAGATTTTCAATGGGCAGGTAAACCAATACCAATGCTTGTTAAGGTTTGTAACTTTGCACATATATATTTGAAGATTTAAAAGAGAAGAAAAATAATTTAAAAAATTTTTTGTTATTGTTTTGTTGTTGTTTTTTGGAATTAAAGAAAAGTCCTTATTTTTGATGGCGGGCATGATAACTCCTCACTGGAACATCGGAATCCGAAAATTCCAACGGTGTTAGAAAGAGTACATGTCTGGCTCTCGTATGAACTATGATTATTGACCTCACTCTAAAATTAACAAAATAGTGGAACTTTTTTTTTTGGAAAATCGCCGATTTTTAACCAAAAACCAAGTTAAAAAATAAGGAAGATCTTCACCGATTGGCTTTGTCCTAGTTCATACGAGAGCTATACACTCCCACAGAAACGATGCAAAATTTGGAACCGATTGGATTATTAGTTTTTGAGTTATCGTTCCCGCCATTCGCAAAAAAATGTTTAGATAAAAACGTGTTTAAAGTTTGAGAAGCCCTTCAGCCGTCACTTGATGCTGACACAATAAATTGGATATATCTTCAAGAGTTCTTGAGATTTTCACTTGAAATTTTGTAGGGTCATTCTTTAATTAGTGTAGATTCGAATTATATCAACAAAAATTTGGACCCCGAGAATGGGGGGGGGGTCCCCTTAAAGCATTATTGTTTTCAACTTACCAATTGCCATGCCGTCAGTAAAATTATGTAAACCATCACCCATAATTATCATCCAGACAACAGCACTCAACGATTCCGGTGGCGAATGGACATGACCATGTTTATGTGAATGGCCATGATGTGAAGATTCATGTTCTCTTAGTATAACAGTTACCGTATCACTCATTAGATCTTTGCCATTGCTGTTGGCAGCCACAGTGTTAATGCCACCCGCCGTATCACCCACCACATTGCCATCTAAATCGGTGGCCAACGTACTGCTATCGGGTATATTGTGACTTTGACACGATGAGGTGCTATTCGCTTGTGATGATTGTTGCAGATCATTATGGTTATGATGATGCGAATGAGAATGATTGTGTCCTTGATGATGATGGTGGTGATTTCTATCCGTAAGCGGTGCATAATTATTTTGCGATGTTGATAGTAATGATTGTGTTGCATTCTCCCCGCCATCGATATCCAATTTGCCATTGCGTGTCGAAACATTTGCATTATCGCCGGTTTTATTATTCGGCAGATGTAACCAAACATCGTTTTTCGTGTCCATTGCAATTTCATCGTAGCAATAGGGATACGAACTATATTTGGATTTGCACACTTTGTCTCCGGCAACGGAATTGTTGTGCGATGAATCGGGATCTCTCATTACCTTGGCTCTGGTGGGTTTATTGGTCTCTTTTTTGGCAATGCTCTTGCGCCACTCGGATACCATGGTTAGACCATGTTCGGTTATGTAAAAGAAGACAATACCACCCATACAGGTAAGGCCTTTAAAGATCATATTACTTTCATTTTGACCGGCTAGAGACTGTGGAAACAATGAATATAAATTATTTTTTGGGAAAATTGAAATATGTTTTTCTTTCGTTAACTTACATGTGGTAATAAATGCAACAATGCATCACCGGTCATGGTGCCAACAGCCAATGCCACCAGAAATTGAATTATATGTTTGTAGAAACGTGAATTCATAAAGGGAATAATTGCCACACCAACCAAACCCAAAATACTGCAGGCAAATACCGCGGCAAATGAATATATCCAAACTGAAATGAAATAGCATTGTTACTCCCTCTCCGAAAAAATCGATTCGACTAGCCTACAAAAAATATTTTCAACTTACCATACATAATATCCTCTTTGGGTACGCTTGCATGTTGCGTTTGCTGCAGATCGATTTGTAGTAACACTTCACTTCCGATGCAACCTTTGTTATTCGTATCACTATTGGAAGTCAATTGATATAACAGTACCGGACAGACATGAACAATGTCATTGGCGGTGAGGGTGTAATTGTAATACTCTGCCGAATCACCGTGATGATTGTGTTCATCATCGTCGTGATCGTTTACTTGTGTGTGTGCCAATGCACAACCTTCTGATGCATCTGAACAATTTCTGTTTTCTTCATGATTATGCGAATGTTGGTGATGATGATGATTATGATCATCATGTTCCGAATCATCATCATCATCGTGATCATGATCATGTGCAGATTGAGATTTTACATAACTTATTAATTTTGAGTCTCTAATACACTGCAAGAATTAAGAAGGGAAAATATAAATTATATTTTATATTAATTTCATTAAATTTCAATTCAAAATAAGTCTACCGAGAATAGGGAAAAAAGAAAGTCTACTGTAAGTGTTCTTCTAAACATCTTCCAATATTTTAGTGGAAGACATTTTTAAAGATCGACGACCTTCCAGAGGTCTTCTCACAATATACTAAAGTATGTCATAGGTAGGTTTTTTCGAATTAAGACCCCCATTCCCACCCAGGACCTATAGTTTTTTATTAGAGTTTCAGAATTTCTAATGGAGAATTGCAAAATCAAAAGTCCTTGTTATTACAGAAGACTAGAAAAACATCATCTAGGAGGCCTCTCACTCAAAGATCTTCACAGTGGATCTTCTTCTCATTTTCATAAAATATTAGAAAATATTAATCTCATAGATGAAGGTCATATTCTTAATGTAAGAGAATACTTCACCTTTATTGAGAAGACTTTCTGACCAGAGTAAGAGTTTTAAAGTCTTCTATAAGAACCAGTCTGATTTTGTATGAGGAGAAGACTTTCGGATCGATTCTTAAGAGGAAATTTAATTTTCTTCCTTCTGGTCCTCAATGGGATAAGGTTCTGTTCTTCTCTGATAAGTTGTCCTACTGATATTTTATTAGAAGAGAACCATTTGGTATTCAATGAGAAAAAGTTATTCTGATCTTCATTGGGGAGAATTTTTCTTTCTAGTCTTCTATCGAAAATGTGATCAACGAATTCTGGTTCTGTCCTTCTCTGATAAGTTGTCCTACTGATCTTTTATTAGAAGAGAACCATTTGGTCTTCAATGAGAAAAAGTTATTCTGATGTTCATTGGGAAGAATTTTTTCTAGTCTTCTATCGAAAAAGTGATCAACAAATTCTGATCTTCTTTGTCAATAAGGGATTCTATGGTCTCCCTATGAAAACACTTTTTTTCCAACGAACAAAAGAAAACGTTGGAGTCTTCTATGAAAAATCTTTCATGGAAAGAAAATATTCTGCTCTTGTATTCTTTACTGAGAATACCTACTGAACTGAGGACAGAAGACCCTCTTATATGTAAGAAAAACTTTTTTGTCCTCTGAGATTTGAGATTTTTAAAATGTAGGAAACCTGTTACAGGGAATACTTTCTCTAAAAGTCTTCTATTTATTAAAGACCTGTTGAATGTCTTCAATCTGAAGGAGACCGTCTTTGTCATTTACCACATAAGACCTAAAGAAAGTCTTCTATATAAGAGACCTCTAAAAGAATTTCTATCTAAAGAAAAAATTACGAAAGACCAATTGAAGACAGATTAGTTTCGTATTTACTTCCTATTTACCTATCGCAAAGAAAATATATTGAAATTCTGTGTTTTGCTGATGTCCTCCTGAGGTTTTCTATGGTTGAAGACATTTACATAGATATATATCTTTCAACTTCATCTTCACTATATTATATCTATGGAAGATCACAGCTGGATATTCGTATAGGATCTACAAAAGGTCTTCTCAAATCCTTAATTTACAAAAGATTTCTAAACGACGAGATAGAAATCTTGAGAATACTTCAAGAAAGACTTCTGTAAAAAGTACATCTGAAAGGGTTTCTATCGAAAGAAGACCATAATAATTTTAATTTCTTTTTATAGTACAGCAATAAAAAAATAAAGAAATCATCGAAATTTTGAAGACCTTCTAAAAGATTTATGTACATGGTAGGTAGGTAGGTCAAATGATTTCTTATATATCTACAGCAAAGAAATGTATCAACAATCTTTTTTTTAATTCTAAAGACCTCCTGATGTCTTCGAGGGCAGTAGACATACAGCAGATTATTTAAAGCCCTTATATGCATATACAGTATTTTATAGATCTTCCTAGCTATAATGATTTCAATTTCAATTTTTTTCACCAACGCACAAATACATTTACTTACGGTTTCATTATCACTATCATCCTCCGAATTTTGCAGCAATTTTTGTGGCAACAACTGATGTAGACCCAATTTCTCTAACATACGCTGGAAGTCCTCAACATTGATGGTATCACCACCACTGCCATATTCATTAAATATTCTGCGGACAAATGTATCGGTGATTGCGGGCCGATGAATTTCATTCGAAGGATTATGACCATGATCGGCGTGGCGTTTTTTTCTTCTACGACTGCGATTATCACCTTGGTTATTCGTTGTGGCTGATGATAAGGATATAAAATTATCGGTGGTATGTTTCTGGTGTTGTTGTTGTGTTTTGGCAGAATAACTCGTTGCAGCGATGATATCTTTATTTTTATATACAACGGCATTCATTGGTGTTTGTTCCCAACCCGGATTGTGGATATGATGACCATTATTGTTATTATTATTGATTAGGGATGCGGCACTGCCAACATTTCCAGGAAATAATGTTTCAATGTGTTGTTGACACGGTAAGTGATCTGCACATAGAAGGCAGACCACACAAACAGCCATTATATGGCGAGCCATGGTACATAATCTTCACTGCTTGCAGGGATTTTTGGGTTCTGTATGATTTTTAGTTATGTTTTGGGGTTATTTTTCTTTCGCAATATTCCAAAATTTATTTAATTTCCTATAGCGAAAAATATATTTTTTGGTTTGTGGCTTGCTTCCAGTTGAGATGCTGATTGGTTACAGACAAACGCTATTCATAATCGTGTAGTTTTGTTATTCATAGAAAATCTGAATCTGAAAGAAGAGAAAAAAAAACAATAATAATTGAGAATCTGTTAGTAACGATCACATAGAAAAATAACAACAATCAAAATCTTATCGAAAACAATTAAAATTCAATTGTTACATCTGTTTTTGTTGTTGTGTTTTTTGTTTTGTTCTAAACAACATAACCATATTAAGAAAGAAAAAAATAATTATACAACAACAACATCGTCCCAACCCCACACACAGTAGAATATATCCGAATTCATTTATCAGTCGCACATGTAAAGCACGTTGTGATAGGTTTTAAACCCACGCTTTCTGATACTTAAATAAAAATATGTTTGAAAACAAAACAAACAAAAACAAATCAGATTTTTATTTTACGTAATATTTTAATAAAAGGATTGTATTTAATATATCTGGTTATTGGAATTAAATAGTACAAATGTTGTTGTAATTGTATTGTGAAAAAATTATTACATATCGACGAGATTTTAATAAAAAAAAAAAACTAAAAATGGAAATAAAAAATCGTTTTATAAATTTTTTAATAATGTTTGAATAAAAAAATATATATTTTTAATTTCAAGAACCAATTCGGTTGAGAACCGTACCCAAAAGTACTGATTTCTGATAGAAATCGCTCCAGTTGGAGACCTATGGTCTATTACAAAGGGAGAAAAATATATTCTCATAACTGGAGCCGCGAGGAGCACACCCCAATGTGCCCTGAACGCAATGATGAACTTAAGGCCTCCGGATCCCAGCAATAAGTGTCAGACAGGTTGAAAGAAAGGCTGCAGAAACAGAATTTTGGGCGAAATTGTGCTTATGGGCATGCATGTATCCAAAAATAAGGTATTAATGAACCAACGTCGAAAACTAAGCAACTATATATCACCATTCCTAAGATTTGACTGGAACCATTGTAACCCTCCTCTAGATGGACTTGCTTTTTATAAAGATAATTCCAAGATGGAAGAAGTAGCGGGAGCTGGTAACTAGTGTAAACGGCTAGGCCTTTAGTACACATACAAATTAGACAGCGACTATAGTGTATTCCAGGCTGAAATGTTCGCAATTTGCAAGGCAGCGGAGTTGATCGATCTGAAGTGCAGAACAGCATTGGGAACAATTCTACCGACTATGCTGGGTATCCTGAGATAGAATGGCACAACGAACCTAGTTGCAATGCGTCAGGATCCATCAGGTTAACTCTTTTAGCCAAACGAATTAATTCGCTAATAGACCTGAGCAAAGATGAAATAAGATTAATTACGGGAGTTATTAATGGCCATCACTTGGGACTATGATGTTACGGACTACTGAAGACTTTTCGACGACGAGAAGGAGACCAAGACGATCGAGCATAGGGATACGTAGTCGAGCACAAACGTCGATTTTTATACTTTTCGATTTTTGCCGCTGACCAAAAGACGATTTTTGCCGTTAACTAAAAAGTCGACTTTTCGATATTTCGATTTTTGCCGTTAACTAAAAAGTCTACTTTTCGAAATTTCGATTTTCAAACCTGTTCAACATTGTTTTTCGACTCTTAGATTTCTGCCGTTTCCAAAAAGTCGATTTTCGACTTTTAGATTTTTGCCGCTGACCAAAAAGTAGATTTTTAGACTTTTTTGATTTTTGGCGTCGACTTTTCGATCTTTCGATTTAGCCAAACCTGTTCAACATCGATTTTCGACTTTTGCCGACTAATGCATAATCGACCAAAAATTATTTTTTTCTTTAATTAAATGTTCTCAACAGATAAAATAAAATTCTAGAATGTATAATTTTTTGGCAAGTTGGGCTTTGAGACAATTAACAAATTATTTATGATGAAGATCAAAAGTCTATTTTGAAAATTCGAGTTTGCGATTTCCCAAAGATCAAAAGTCGACTTCGATTTTTAGACTTCGCGACAAAAAGTGTATTAATGATGTTACGGACTACAGCAGAACCTGTCAGTACGAGGAGGAGACGGAGATGATCGGTCATCTCCTACGTCATTTTCCGCCACGTCTAACCGTCTACTCTACTTTTAATATGGAGTCTGTCTTAATTTACAACATCATCAGAGATCGAATATGGACGGCACACCTAAACACGTCTACCTGTTTAATTTTACTTCTCTTTTATCAGCTCCCTTTCTTCCTTTTTATCTACAAAAACTTCCATAAATTTTCCTTGGATGGTCACAACGGCGTACCCATTATCGAAGGGGTTTCTTCCTATAGAAGACATTGTTGAAGAATTTCTTATCTGCAGAAGACACACTTGAAGGGTCTTCTATATACAGTAGATATGAAAAATTGTGTGCGGTACTTTTTATATAGAATGGCATTTTCTCTATAAAAGACCTAGTGAACGGTTTTTTAGTATTGAAGATTTTTTATAGAAATCTTTTTAGGATTTCTATTATAGAAAATACTCCAACCAGTGGGTCTTTCGTGACCTTCAAGAAATTTATATTTTATGTTTTATTTATTTATGTATGTTTATTGTTCCTGTAAACATAAAAACCTCAGCATAACCTTGAATTTGTGAACCACCAAGAGCATACAAATGTTACAATTGCCAAAAATACATACATATGTACACATTACATTTCATCAAAATTGAATGCCAATAAAAATTGAAAACATTTACTTTAAAATAAATATTTTCGTTAAAAGTAGGTTAATATTTACATATAATCAAACGCAATGAGCCACAGAGGTACTCTTAGACAAGCATACGTCAGTAATAAAGGTTGGACATCAATGACTTTCATGTGTCAACAGAGTTGTCAATCCAAACGAATGTCAATTTCAGTGTTGAACATATCAAATAATAAAAAATGGTGGGGAAATAAACGACCAACTTCAAAAGGAAAATATTAAAATAAATTATGATTAATTAAATCGAATTATTTTCGTGAGAGGAACAATAATTATTTAAAAAATGTAATTAAGTAATTCTATTGACAGGTAATAGAAATTCTATCGACTTCATTTTACTAATTTCTGACCAATCACTGAATAGTTAATCTACATGGCCTCAGAGAGAGCTCATTAATTTGCCGCAGTTACTCTTCTATGTGCATATCATCGAAGTTGTACATGTTTTGATCATATAATTACATGAATTACTTCATCACATATTATTTATATTTATATATATGTATATTATCTATTGTAATTTATTTTATTTTTTCGAATCATTTCAATTAATTTGCCATTTTTTTCTCAATTACCTTTTGTTCTAACACACTTAATGATTTCAAATAATAATAAAATTAAAAAAAAATTTCAGAAAATTATTTTAAAATAATCGGGTGGAAATAAAATTAATATTGTTGTGTGTGCTGGAACTGGTAGATTTTTTTTTTCAAGATCAACCAGAAAATGAATAGTACGCAATAGTAAGCAGTACATCCCATCTGCGGAATACGGTATAAAGGTACGGTGGATATGCGGTGCTAAAAATGCATACAATATACCGAGCAATTAACCACTTCTGCGGCGGCTTCTACTGATGGCAGGAAGCCTCAAATATTAGAAATGATTTAAAATGGATGAATATAAAATGAATAAAATATAAATAATTTAATTAAACATTTTGAAACAAAACAGAAGCTTTTTCTATGACATATAAGGTAAGGTACCCGGTCATGGAACTCCAAAAAAGAGGAACAGCAGCACTTTAAAGTAAAAAAAAAGTATCCGTGTACCTGGTTATGGATCGATTAATGAATGAATGTCCAGTCGTGATTTTAAGAGAATAGTTTTCAATGTTTTTCTTAACCTGTTTTTTAATAATTTTTTGAGAATATGCATAAAGAATATGAGTCGATTTAGGCATGTCCGTCCATGTATTTTTGTGAATATTGGTCCGATTGCGAAAAAAATTAGCACAGCGAACTAAATTAGGTCTGGATTGATACATGCGAAGTTTTGTTGAAATCCGATAAGATTTAGATATAACTCCCATATATAGTTTCGTTCGATTTTATTTAAATGGAGCATCATATTGGCAATATGGGTCCGATAGGAAAAAAATTTTGCACAGAGTGCAGCATTAGATCTAGATTGATGTATATCAAGTTTTGTTGAAATCGGTTCAGATTTAGATATAGCTCCCATATATAGTTTGGTCCGATTTTATGTTAATGGAGCACCGTACTGCCCATATTGGTCCGATTGAGACAACATTATGCACAGCATGCTGAATTAGGCTCAGATTGATGTATGCGAAGTTTTATTTGAATCGGTTCAGATTTAGATATTGCTCCCATTTATAGTTTCCTGCCATATGTAGTCCGATTTTGTGTAAATGGAGCACAATACTGCCAATATTGTTCCGATTGAGAACAAATTTTGCACAGCGTACGGAATTAGGTCTGGATTGATGTATGCAAAGTGTTGTTGAAATCGGTTCAGATTTAGAGATATAGTTCCCATATATAGTTTCCTGCCGTATGTAGTCCGATTTTGTGTAAATGGAACGCCATTCTGCCAATAATTGTTCGATTAAGACAAAATTTTGCACAACTTACTGAATTAGGTCCAGATTGATGTATGTTTAATTATATTGGAATTGGTTCAGATTTAAATATAGCTCCTATTTATAGTCTCGTCCGATTTTGTGTAAAAGAAGCACCATATTGCCAATATTGGTCCGATTGAGAAAAAAAAAAATTTTGCACAGAGTACTGAATTAAGCCCAGATTGGTGTATGCGAAGTTTAGAATAATGTGTATTGGATTTTGTGTCGAGATAAATTTCTATATTGCACATATGAGCATCTCTTGTATGTATCCAAAGTGGTGA